CTAGTGGTTGAAAGCTGTCCACCATTGACAGACAACAGCTCACTTGCACTGTCCTTGTATTAGTGATCCCCTGCCGTGACTCTTTTATTTTATTCCCCCCGCACACAGAGAATAAAAAATCCAAAGAGGACAAGCAGCGCGAGGAGGAGTTGGTGCAGCAGATTCACAAACTTGTAGAGACCCGGGATTTCCTTGTGGATGACGTGGAGTTTGAAAGGCTCAGGTACACATGGAAAACTACTGCTGTTCCAGTTTCCTGGATCCAAGCAAGTGTTGTTTTTGCTGTTCTTCAGTCGCACAGTCGAGTCCGATTCTTCGTGACCCCATGGACCACATCACGCCAGGCCCTCCTGTCTTCCGCCGTCCTCTGGCGTTTGCTTAATTTCATGTTTGTTGCATCGATAACACTGTCTAACCATCTCATCCTTTGTCGTCCCCTTCTTCCTTCAGTCTTTCCCAGCATCAGGGTCTTCTCCACTGAGTGCTCCCTTCTCATTTGGTGGCCAAAGTATTTCAGCTTCAGTATCTGTCCTTCCAGGGAACAGTCAGGGTTGATTTCTTTTAGGATTGACTGATTCGGTCTCCTTGTAGCCCAAGGGACTCTCGGGAGTCTTCTCCAGCACCATAGTTCAAAAGAATCTGTATCCAAATCTTTTCCAAAGGACCCCATGATCCTATTTCATACACACAGTAACCCTGTGAGGTAGGCAAGGCTTGCAAAGGGTGAGAGGCCCAGCTTCACTGCGAAGCAAGTATCTGAATAAGTGCTTCTCTAGTCTGAGCCTCTTTACTCACAACCTCAATATCAAAAGAAGCTTGTGTTTTTTTAATGTTTTGTTACATAGACATCATTTTAAATTTGCCTACTTCTACAGCACCATCCTAGGGACATTTCCCTGGGAGTAAGCCCTACAGAATAGACTGTAGTAGTATTCAGAGTAGACCTGCTTAGGATTGTTCTCTTTGAGAACTTATTATATGTACATAGGGAAGCAGTTGGGCCTTTCCCAAGATGCGTCAACAGGAATTAGGATGAAAATGGGGAGTGGGGGGAGACAGGATGAAAGCTCAAATCAGACCAATAAGGATTACTCAACCTTCTTGATGTGTGTCATTTATTATGGGCTAAAATACTAGAGACTTTACTGATTTTGCAATAGTTTGGGGGAGCAAAGTCACAAGGACTAGGAACAGGGGATTGAGGCCATGAGTAGATAAAAAGATATAGAGGAGACTCACCATACTGTGTGGATTCTGAAAGGGTGCAAGTATGTAGGAAGGAAGGGCTATCTATGTTTATCAATAGGTATTTTTCCCCTCAGAGGGGAAGCTTACAAACCAACAAAAACTGTGGGCTGTGGCAATCCAGCTACAGAGCTTTTTGGATGATGCTTCCATTCTAGATCCCTTCCAGTCCAGTTTTCGCCTGGGACAGAGACCCTCACAGACGATCTCCAAAGGCATCTGCGTGGTTCGGTAGCGCTGTTGTTGTTGGACCTGTTGGCTGCGTTCGACCTGGTTGACCATCAGCTACTGGTCCGCCGCCTCGCTGACACAGGAGTTCAGGGGCTCGGCTTGCCTCTTTCCTCCATGGTCGGGGACAAAGGGTGGTGTAAGGGGAACAGCTCTCTCAGAGGCACCCACTAGAGTGTGGAGTGCCTCAAGGGGTGGTGCTTTCCCCAATGTTATTAAACATCTACATGCACCCCTTGCCCAGATTGCCCAGAGCCATGGGCTGGGATGTTACTAGTATGCAGATGACACCCAGCTCTGTCTGATGTTGGGCGGTAAGCCTGGCTCCAGACCAGAAGATCTGGACTGGGCATTACAGGCTGTGGTTGGTTGGCTCAGACTGAGCTGACTGAAATTGAATCCAATGAAGACGGAGGTCCTGTGTTTGAGTCGGGGCGGTTCGGGGGTAGGGATCCCACTTCCGACCATCGATGGGGCACCATTGGTGCCAGCGCCAGAGATTAGGAGTTTGGGAGTGTTCCTGGATGCCTCCTTAACAAATAGAGGCCCAGGTAGCAGCCACTGCCAAATTGGCCTTCTGCCATCTTCAGCCGATCAGGCAGTTGGTTCCCTTCCTCGAACGCAATGATTTAGCAACAGGTCACCTCAAGATTAGACTACTGTAATGCTCTCTACATGGGGCTGCCCTTGTTGCAGATCTGGAAGCTGCAGCTTGTGCAAAATGCAGCAGCTAGGCTCTTGATGGATCTCCCCATGAGGGAGCACATCCAGCCTGCCCTGAAGGCATTGCAGTGTCTGCCGATAGCATACCAGATTTCCTTCAAGGTCCTGGTTCTTACTTTTAAAGCCCTTTATGGTCAGGGTCCGACTTACCTGAAGGACCATCTTTCCCCATATATACCTCAGAGAGCGCTACGGTCAGGGGCACAAAATCGACGCTAGGATGCTAGGCTGGTTGCAACCAGGGCGAGGGCTTTCTCAGTGGAAGCTCCATACTAGTGGAATGAGCTCCCGGAAGAGATCAGAGTCCTGTGGGACCTTCAACTAGGAGCCGCCACCACCAAGAAGAAGGAGGAGGAGGGATTTATACCCTGCCCTTCACTACCCAAAGGAGTCTCAGAGCGGCTTACAAACTCCTTTCCCTTCCCCTCCCCACAACAGACACCCTGTGAGGTGGGTGGGGCTGAGAGAGCTCTGACAGAAACTGCTCTTTCTATAACAACTATAACAGTTTGCAGAGCCTAGTTCCTGGCCACCTATGCGCACTGATTACAGCCGAGGGAGATTAGGGAGCTGCACCCACGCGGTAACATCATCATTATAACATCATACAACATAGCTAGCCTTTTAGTATTGTTTTAAGGACTTGTTTTAAATGTTTTATGAAACTCTGGCTGTGAATGTGTATTTTATTCTGTGTGAGCCACCCTGAGCCTGCTTTGGTGGGGTAGGGCAGGGTATAAATTATAAAATAAATAAATAAAACACAATTTAAATAAACAGAAAAATCAAAGAGTACAATAAACTATATATTGGGTCGGTCCTGGATCCACATTTGGCTTCCTCAAGGCCTCGGGCTGTGAGCTAGGAGTTAAGGAACTAGGTTGAAGACCTTTCTTGCTCTTTGGGTCACACCAAAAGGCTGACCTTGCGGAGGCTTAAATACCTGCAACAGAAAGAGAAACAGAAGGTCATACCAGATGTAGCTAGCAGATGTTTTCTCAAGAATTTCCCTCTTCCTAGAGGAGCTGCTGGCTACACACAGTTTTAAATACCTGCAGCATGACAAACTTTTGTTCTCAACCTCATTTGAAGTGGGACCCATTTCTGAACTTATCCCTTTCGGGACACACTTGCAGACTAATTCCATGCTACTTCCCCTCTCTTCAACATAAAATCCTGGACTCTCATATCAATTAACAATGAACCAGTTTATAGTTCATTTATAAATGTATAGCATAACTGAGTAAGAGCTAGATCTGAATCCAGTAGCACCTTAGAGACCAACAAGATTTGGGGGGGGTATGAACTCTTGCGAGAAAGCTCCCTTTCTCGGATGAAATGTACTGGGTTCAAGACGCATAGTCGACTGAGACAAGGAAGCAGGACCCGGGGTCTGCTTATATGTCAGCAGAGGTCGATTCGGGGGGGATCGCAGGGGATCGCAGTTCCCCTGGGTAAGGTGCGGGGGGGGCACATGACGAAGCCCCGTCCCCTGCTTCCGGCCACCCCGCTTCCGGCCCTCATTCAGCCAGGAGGAGGCAGGAGAAGAGGGAGGGTAAGTTGCTTCCTCCCCGCCTCTCCCCACTCCTGCCTATGAAACGACCCCTGTATGTCAGTCCAAATCACACCCAACAAACACACCCCACACCCGAGATAGGTTTATTTACACTGCACCAATAACCTTATGTTCCTTTGCGGACTGTACCAATAACCTTATGTTCCTTTGCGGATCTGGACTAACCTAATGGTCTGTTTTAGGATTCTACAAGTCTATTGTTTCGGGTCGCGAAGCTTTGCTCTTGCGCTTGACCGCATGCACAGTCCTTTGTTAGTACATAACATCAGATATCTGATAAAAGGAGCCCTGACTCTCAAAAGCTCATGCACAAAATCTTATTGGTCTCTGAGTTGTTAGAGGACCTAGATCTAGCTTTTCTACTGCAGACCAACATGGTTCTTCTCGGCAAATAACTAAGGAAGAGGCTGTATTTCATAGCGTTTTCACACATTACACAGAGGCAAGCCCAAATGTGCCATCAAACCTCCCAGAACCTCCTCTCCCAATTCATCCTTTTCCTTCCTAGCCTTGTGAACCACCTGCAACAGAGTCATGGCTCACTTTTGGGTCCGGACCTACAATTTGAGAACCGCTGCCCTAAACTAAATGTGTTCCAGGACCAAGGGAGGACAAGACAGCAGCTCGTTTTTCACAGACTTTGACTCCAAGCCTTCAGTGTATCTGTAGTTACCTCTACCTTCACACCAAGTGATATATAGCTTGTGATCCATATTCAGCTTGCAGGACAGTAACCAGAGTCCTTTTTCCCCCCACAGAGAACGAGAAGAGGACAAGGAGATGGCTGAGTTTTTGAAGAAAAAGCTTTCCAAAGGCTGCCTTCTGAAAACAAGTATTTATTCATATGCTTATCTAAAATATTTCTATCCTGCTTATTTCTGTTGTTCAAAGTGGTTTACAATAAATATTTACATAATCACACATATTAATTATGACTCAATTAGCAGCAGTTAAATTAGTCAGATCAACAGAAATTGAAATATAGCATTGTGCAGATCTTCTTTTTTTTTTAATCAAGCATATAGCCTAAATCAGCCCTTACAGGACACAGTCTGAAATATAATAACATGGCCTCCAAAAAATACTACATCAAAATCAGAGAAAAGAAGCATGATTTTAAAAATAAAATAAAAAGATCTCCAAATGGCACCTAAGTCCATACAGAGCCAGTGTGCTATAGTGGTTAAGAGAGGCAGACTCTAATCTGGAGAACTGGGTTTGATTCCCCACTTCTCCATATGAAGCCTGCTGGGTGACCTTGGGCCAGTCACAGTTCTCTCAGAACTCTGTCAACCCCACGTACCTCACAGAGTGTCTGTTGTGGGGAGAGGAAGGGAAGGCAATTATAAGCCACTCCAAGATTCATTAAGGTAGAGAAAAGTGGGGTATAAAAACTCTTCTTTTTCTTCAAAGAAAACACCAGGTAAACTATGGAGGAAGGTCCTCAGTCACCATCTGCCCCACCACAGAAGATCTGTAGGTCCAGAGCAGAGTCTCTCCAGGATATGTCAATAGAGACAGGTTTTATTATGTATGCGGACCGCAGGAGCTTGGTTCCCAAACACAAAGGGGACCTAGGATCCTAGTCCACCAGTAGTCCACCCATGACACCTTTGGCAGAAGATTCAAACCCTCCAATGGGGACAGAGGTGTGCCGGGTGTAGTGTATATAGTTGGCCTTGCAGGGCTGTTTTGTGTGTCTTGTTGTGAAGTACAATAAATGTGTCTTAACACATGTCGTGGTCCGAGTTCTCCATGTGTCGAACCCAGTACTTTTCAGTGGCAATGAAGGTGGGATTCCAATGAGCAGGCCAGGCTCACCTTCCAGCACAGCACCGAGCATCATTCCAGAAACGCCACCGCGCCCCACACGACACCACGCCTGGCATCACTGAACACCGCTCCCCCACTCCACGCTAGAGCCATGGCTTCTGCTCAGGGACACCTAGAGGTTTTTGACCCCACTCATCCTGAGCTCTGGGATTCGTGGACGGACCAGCTGACCTGCCATCTCACCTTTCATGAGATCACCGATGCAGGCAATAGAAGGGCTCTCCTCCTCAACTCTTGTGGCGTGCACACTATCCGGCTTGCAAAGAGTCTCCTGGCCCCGAAGGCGATCCTCGAGTGTACTTATGAGGAGATCGTAGACGCCCTGACCAGGTACCTCACACCCAAGCCGATGACGCTGGCCAAACAGATGGAATTCCAGGGGTGCATTCAGAAGCCCACCAAAATGGCCACCACATTCATGGCCGTGCTGCGCCAGCACACCATGTGACTTCTCCAAGGTAGAGGAGAACCTCTTGACCCAGTTCACCTGGGGAATCAGCAATGTGAAGCTCCACAGAAAGATGATTGGCACATCCAACATCCAACTCAACGAGGCCCTCCAGCTCGCCATCGCACATGAGGCCTCCCACCACATCCGACCACCAGCAGCGTCCCATCTCATGCTCCCCAAATTGGCACCTGAAACCTCAGACGAGGATGACGTCCATCTCATCCACATACCCCACCGCCGGGATCCGCCAGAGCCTCTGGACACCCCGGTAAGCCTACTGGACATTCCCCATGCACCAGCTGTGAAGAGGCGCACGAGTGCAAGTCATGCAGGTTCCGGGACACCAATTACCACACATGTGGAAAACAGGGACACCTTGCCTTCGTCTGCAGATCCAAGGGCAACCAGAACCATCCACCCCAGCTGCAGCCACGCCACCATGCCTCCACGCACCACGAGACCACCGAGGGCACGGACGATCTCTACCTCCTGACCAGCCAGCCCTCACTACAGGTACTACGCCTCCCCAACTTGCCCAAAGCCCCAAAGGTCCAGGTCCAGGTCTCGATCAAGGGGTCTCCTCGATGGAAGTAGACTTAGGGTCAGCGGCTTCCATCATCTCTGTGGAAATGCTGAACAGACTTTGTCCCAACAGTGGGCCCCACCTGCGACCTTTGCCTTTGAGCCTAGTGGACTTCCAGAGCAACCCAGTTCCAATAAGGGGTGTGGGGACTTTCCGGGTGAAGTACCGGGGGGTTGAGGGTTTCCTGGACTTAATTGTAGTAGAGAGAAATTTGGTTAGTCTATTGGGGCGGGCGTGGTTTGCACCGTTGGGCATCACAGTAGGGGGGGTTAATAAATGTGCGCCGTGGGAGTTTGCTGATGTTTGCAGGGAGTTCCCTGTGGCATTTGATGGGGCTCTGGGTTGTTACAAGCCCCCCCCCTGTTTCTTTGCAACTCAACCCCCAAATTGCCCCCATCCGCATGTGTTTCTGCACCACCCCGCTCGCTTTACAGCCAAAGATCAATATGGAGCTGGACCATTTGGTGGCGCAAGAGGTCCTCGAACCAGTCTACCATGCTCCATGGGAGACCCCCATCATAACACCCGTACAGCCTAACGCCGATGTCCACATCTGCGCGGACTATAAGTGCACTTTGAACAAGGCCCTTCCTGACCATGCCTACCCAGTCCTGGTCGTAAGTCATGTGTTGGCTTCCTTAGCTGGAGCTAAGATTTTTGGAAAGTTGGATCTCACACAGGCGTACCAACAACTGCCCGTAGATGAGACCACAGCAACGGCCCAGACCATTGTAGCACACCGGGGGGCTTTTAAGGTTAAGAGGTTACAGTTTGGTGTAAGTGTGGCCCCGGGGATATTTCAGCAACTAATGGACTCTTCGTTGAAAGGGATCCATTTTTTGATGACATCCTGATCGCTGAAGGCACCCCGGACAACTTTCTGCCTCCGCGCCGTCCTTTGCCGTTTCGACTCAGCGGGCCTCAAGGTCAAATGGGAGAAGTGCCTCCTTGGGGTCCTGGAGGTAGACTTCCTGGGCTTCCAGGTCGACGTTTCTGATCTCCATCCGGCAAGGGACAAGGTCAAGGTCATTGTGGGAGCCCCCAATCCCACATGCAAGGCAGAACAGGCATTTTTAGGACTCGAACTTTTATCACACCTTTCTGCCACACAAGGCTGCGGTTGCAGAGCCTCTTCACCACCTCCTGGACAAATCAGCCGCCCTGGTTGTGGGGCCCAAGGGTGGCGGTGGCATTGAAAGGGGTCAAGGCACTACTAATCTCCAATGAGGTGTTAGTGCACTTCGATGAGTCCCTCCCCATTGTCCTTGTGTTCGACGCTTCGCCCTATGGCATCGGCGCTGTTCTAGGCCACCTTCTTCCTGACGGCCGGGAGGCTGAGGGGCCTTGGTGGTCCTGTTGGGTCTTCTTGAAAGCTGTCACCATTTTCAAGGCCTTGTCCAACTTGAGGTCATCGGCCCCGATAAGCTTTCAGTGGAGCTTCGGTTCTCGGACCCCCCCAGACAAAATGCATTAGGAGGGTGTCCCCAAGGTCTGGAAACTCGCAGTTCATGGCCAACCTGTGAAGATCAGCCATGAAATCAGAGGCCGCCTCACCGGACTTTTGGTTTCACGTTATAAAGTCCATGCACATCGCCATCTTTGTTGGTTGCGGCATGATGTGATCGGTGAAGGCTTTGATGATCTCAGCATAGGTGGCGTCCTTCAGTTTTGTAGGGGCGATTAGGCCCTGAGAGAGGCATATTGTGGCAACTCCGCACATGCGGAGGAGCAGCGACTTCTTCTTGACAGCATTGGTGTCGCCCTGGTACTCGAAGAAGTAGTCCAGCTGCTCTACCCAGGCCTCCCAGAACTCAGGCTGGGCTGGATCGAAGGCTGTGATGCTTCCTGGAACAACAGCCATTACTCGTGGAGTGGTGCGGGGCACGGTGTCCTGGAGATCGGTGCGTGGAGTGGTGCTGGAGTCAGAGTCAGGCTCGCTCATCGGAATCCCACCTTCGTCACCAGTGAAATATACTGGGTTCAAAGCTGTAGATAGTGAAATCAGCTCATGGTTTATTATAAGGCACGAACAGAAGACAGACTAGCAAGGCCAGAGTCCTGCTTAAATCCCCAAAACACACCACATCCACAACCCGTGATAGGCTATTTACAGTGCCCCAATACTTATAGGTCTACACCCAGATCTGGGGTGGCCAATTGGTCCGTTCCAGGATCCTAGCCGGCTATTGTCTTTTAAGCGAAGCTTTGCTATTTCACATGACCACGTGCAAACCCGACCATGTGTGCAGTCTGCGGTTGATACACAACATCTACTTTTTTTTACCTTGGACATACCTGGCATTTTGCAACCTGACATTCAGCAACTGTAAGTCTGAGCACACAGTGACACAGTGAGGAGCGTGACTCCGGCTGAAAGAATCATGAGAAGAGGGAAAGCCCACCAATATTTTGCCTCTCGTCCCCTTATCTGGACAGGTCTTCCCACACTACCATTTCTCTCAGGGGCATGCGGCATCCTTTCAACTTCCCAGGGGGAGGGGGGGATACAGACAGCCATGTTATTCAAATGACACAGTAAAAGAACCCATGTTTTTGCAACCTGACATTCAGCAACTGTAAGTCTGAGCAAACACAGTGAGGAGGGTGACTCCGGCTGAAAGAAGCATGAGAAGAGGGAAAGCCCACCAATATTTTGCCTCTCGTCCCCTTATCTGGACAGATCTTCCCACACTACCATTTCTCTCAGGGGCATGCGGCATCCTTTCAACTTCCCAGGGGGAGGGGGGGATACAGACAGCCATGTTATTCAAATGACACAGTAAAAGAACCCATGTATGGTCCAAGAAAAATCATAACGTATGCAACACTGATCAAATGTGCATCGTTTCTATTTGTTTGCAGTTTGACTCCATAGCTGTCATTCATTTACATAAATTCATTTCATCTTTCTAATGGGGGGGAACATGGAAGCCCTGCTTCCAAACAGCTGCTGAAAGTTGTATTCAGCCACCTTCCAGGCTTCTGAGATTTCAGCACACACTCTGCCCACACACTTCCCAGCATATCTTAGTAGTCATAAAAGCTAGTTTTTCTCAATTTGATTTTTTGAAAGAAAGAAAGAGAAACTTCTCAGGTAGTTCTGTACTTTTTTCTTGGCACCTGCAGAATCCCAGTACCCATACTACTTTGCTTAGGAGAAACCTCCTAAGTTTAAACATAGCTTGTGTGACCGAGGCAGCCATGTTCCAAGCCAGATGGCATGGCCTTATTCACTCAACCACTTTGCAGCATGGTTGGTTGCTTCTTGAAAAGGAAATTACACAGGAGTTGTTCCATTTAGGAAGCTATTTGTGGGAAGATGCTCTCCATGCAGTTTGAACTATCAGCCAGCCAGCACACACACTCATACACACTGGGGGGAAAAGGAGAAGGCATTACATGTGACTGAGTAGAAAGCAGCCTCTGGTACAGTATTATATGTGTGTATTATATTTCTGTCTCAGTCAAAAGGTTGCTATTTTTAAATAAAAGTCTACCCCAATTTATTTATTTAAAACATTTATCAGCCACCTTTCTACCTTATAGGTACAGAAGGAGGCTTACAGTATAAATGGCAATAAAACTCAATAAAATACATCAAACACTAATTTAAAATCAACTATTTAAAATTGCTGGTAGGCAGAAAAACTAAAATTAATTGAATGCCGTCTTCAATAAAATCGTCTTCAGCTTCCATCTAAAGGTCAAGAGGGAGGAGGGGCAGGCGTACCTCCCTGGGGAGGTTGTTCCATAGTTGTGGTGCTGCCACTGAAAAGACCCTCTCTCATATACCCACCAAAAGGAGTAGCACCAGTCATTTTTCCCCTCAAGATGCAGCTAGGGTTGCCATTCCCCCAGTAGGGGCAGGGGATGCCCTAATTTTGGGGGCCCTAATCCTCTGCAACCCAGCTGGGCAGCGGGGGAAGTCCCATCCCTGAGAAGCCCCTATAACAGAAAGCTTAATTTCAGAGCAAAGTTTATAAGCATAGCCAGCTATTTGGAAGGTAACCTGCAGCTGAGTGGTCACATGACCAGAGAGGCAGAGAAAGTGTGTGATGAAATGGTTTTGGAATGTTCAGTTTTGAACTGGAGGGCAGGGAAAAAACTGGAGGTTGGAAAAGGTGGTTAAGGGTTAAGGAAGGGGGGAAAGGATGCTCTCGGATGGAAGAAAGAGTTTGGACCCTGTGAGCTGCTGAGGAGTTTAATGATAGAAATTCCTGGTGTATAACTCAGACACACATAGTACTCCTCTGTAAGAAATCCTGTTGGGGAAGGTTATACAGTTCTAGCTAGGGACCAACTGCAAGTGAAGCAGTTTAAGGAGACACTAGACTGTGGAAAAGCCTTCAATAGAACAGAGATATAAAAGATGGAGTGTGCAGGAAGGGTATGGTCTGGAAGAAAACTAAAAGATCTAAGAGCAGTCCAAAGTTAAAAAGAAAAAACAAAGGAACAAAAGAAAGCTTTAACAACTGATTGACTCCCTGTATATAACCCTGTCCCCCGGTGTTATTTTAAATAAACTTGTATTTGTGTTTAAAGTGGAGGGTGTCATAAACCTCTGGGTCAAAAAGGGCGAACTGGCGGTAGAGAGGGGGAAAGTGTGCTGAGAGCTCCCTGCAGTTACAGCCCCCTCCCAGCACAGCCAGAGTTATGACAACACTCAGGAGTGAAGTCATCATGTTTCCAATGCCGGGGGCGATGCTCTAGGTTTTGGGCACAACTCTGGTTTTGAGGCCCAAAAAAACCATAGAGTTTTGCCCAAAACCTAGATCATTGCCCCCAGCAGCAGAAATGTGATGGTGTCACTTCCGAGTGATGTCATTGTGGTGTGTGCACTTTGTGTGCGTGCCAGAAGAACTACAGGAGGAATCGGGAGTCCCCCCACTGGCAACCAGGTAGGACCTGACAATCTTACCAAAAACTGATAGTTTCAGTCAGGACTGTGACATCACTGGGAGTTCCTAAAGTGTCTGCAAGACACAGCCCATCCAAGGCCTTCAGGGGCCAATTGTTCATCAAGGGTATGTAGTGAACTCATTCTGCTGCCATGTCTCACAGTATGTATTTAAACTGTACAACTGACAGGTGTAAAGTTGGATGGGTACACTTGTCAGAAAGGCAAGACTGGTGGCAGTTTACTGTTGAGTGTGTTTGGGTTGCAAACCTAAGCTTGCTGGGACATATGTGAAATAGCCTTCAGAACAGACCTGAACTGGTTATGATACCCTGATTTCAGCTTGCATTACAATGTTAATGGATACAAACATATACACCACATCCTGGGATGATTTGTCACTCACACTGAGGACCTATCACAGACATTGTTTCCATGTCAACAATCAGTTCTTTCTTCACAGCTCCTGTAAAAGAAAAAAAGGTGACGTCAAGAGGACAGCAAACGTCTACACCTTATGTAACAAAGACAGGCCTCACCCTCCTGAAAGAATGCTGTGGCTTCACCTGCTCAATCATGTAGGCTGGGAGCATTGCCCCCATCTTCCCAACCCAAGATACATTCACGGGTAAGCCCTGCCCCTCCCCAGTCCACTGGATCCATTCCAATCATAGCAGATTCACAAGCTTGTGGAGAGGAGACTTGGGATTTCCTTATGGATGCTGTGGAATTTGAAAATAAGCATGGAGCCCAAAGACAGCACCATCCACCCGCATGTCTCTCCAGGCAACCTACAGAATTCAGACCACAGTGGATCACAACAAGAGAGCAGATGTGCTGCAGAAGAGACAACTCAAAGAGACAAAGACCCATAGGCAGAGGAATGGTCATCTAGCAGGAGGGTATCTGCAGGCAACAGGAAAATAAAATGAAGAAGATTTGGTGTGGTTGGGAATTAAATGTTACTGTCATAAATGTGACCCCCCCATACACCTCAGGAAAACTGTATTCTTCTTTCTGTTTCCAGACAATCTAAAAGCAGATTTCCACATTCCACTAATGTGGAAGGTTTCCCCTCCCCATTCACTTCCTCATTAGCAGGTTACATCCAAACTATCATGATACAGTGGAGTTACCTAGCAACTGTACTGCACAGAGCCACTCCCTGTTCCATATCTCATCTGCAAAAGCCACTTCAAAGGGCATGACGACAGCAATCTGTTTAAGTGAGAGCATTATTACAGCCCCCAAATAATCCTGGGCAGAAAGCAGTCCTTCATTCTTGCCAGATTATGAGAAGGAAAGATGACTAATTAAGGGATGCTTCACACAGGATTATTATTAAGGTAAATGAGTGCCAGGGATATATATGTGTACATTGGTAATACGTATAGATGCATATGTCTGTTTAGCTGCAAGTGCATAAGGTGCATAAGGTGAAAAGTTACTACACATATATATGGTAAGATAGACCCTTGCATATGATGGTCTACACAATTATAATTACGTTCTTCCTACATTTGTGTACTAGGGGAAGTATGTATGAAGAAGCATTAGGATTCCCAGATATTATTCATTTTCAAATCTTAAACTGTCCATAATGGCGTATCCAGTTTCCTCTTTGAAACTTCACGGGAATGTTCCTGCAGCATCACCTCCATTTCCCAATCATTTTCAAAACGGGGTGGTGTATTTTGCTTTCACTTGACTCACTGTTCGTGGTTGGTCATAAGACCTCACTCAAAATGCATTTTAAATGTTCTATCTCCAATGCTTGTCCCAGTCAATGGTTCTAGTTCCATTCGGACGCATAGCGGCAGGACCATCGGGACGGAAGAGTGCCTCAATTCCCCAGCATTGCACTGGTGAAGAGGCCACCCTTCAAAAGCCTTTCACAAAGGCTCCGGGGGGATGGCGAACAATCGCCCCCTCCTAACTGCTAGCGCAGATCGCACCCCCGGGAGGTGTGTCTGCCAGCATGCCACCATAAATCGGAAGTCGGTAATCTGAGGATTTGATTGGCACCTGCATTCATTTTGAACACATGAAGCAGCTTTCTACTGCATCAGACCTTTGGTCCATCAAAGTCAGTATCATTTACTCAGACTGGCAGCAGTTCTCCAGGACTGCAGGCAGTGATCTTTCACATCACCTACTGCCTAGCTCTAACTGGAGATGCCAGGGATTAAACCTGGGACCTTCTGCATGCCAAGCAGATGCTCTACCAGTGAGCTGCAGCCACTCTTGACCCTTTGCCTTTGTGTCACACTGACCTATTATTGGAAATTTATCAGAGTGCATAAAGCGCAGCAGAATAATTAATCTGGACACGTATGTGTTTAGCTTCTAAGAAAAATACTTTACTAGAAAACATAGGGAAAGGATTATATGGAAAGGAAAAAACAATAACAGCCTAACTAACTCATATTGCTGCTCTCACACTACATACTGCAGACACACAGACCCTTCTGAGGGCACATTCCCTTTATCCTCAGCACAGTGCCCTGTTTCCTTTTGACCCTCATGATTCCTGACAGTGACAGGGCTGCCATTTTCAGAGTTGACATATCTAACAAGTCCCCAAGAGTCTTCTCCATATGCCTAACTGACTGTCTCTGCTTCTCCAGGTCAGCCACCTTGGTCTCAATGGTGCAAACCCATTCCCTGAGAACCATTAGCTCCTTGAACTGGGCACGCACCCAAGACTACTGTCCAGTGGGCAGACAGTCGCAAAACACTGGATAGCTCCCAACCCCCTGCTGGCATTCTACCTTCATAATTGCTTTTTAAAAAATAATTATTTTTAATTCCCATTTTAAACCTCTTTGTATTTATGTGGTTCTCATTGTAGAAGTCTACTTACCTTACTGGGAACCAAGGAGACTAGGGTCCTGGCTTTCTGGCCCTTCCTGGGTTTCTTACAGAGCTCTTTGGCTTGTGCCAGAGGCTCATGCTTCTGGCAGGGTGCAGCCTTAAATAGAAGCCTCACTCAGCAGAGCGCAGAGCCAGCAGCTATTCAAATTATACCCAGGGAATCCAATTACAGTCAAACAATCACCCTCTCTCACCCTTTCTCAAGCAGCCAAGAGTCTACAACAACTTAAAACTCACCCACACACTTCCAAACACAGTCCTCCCACACAGTACCCTCAGCTAAATCACCTCAGCTGAAAGCAAATAAAAACATTCACCCCTCTAGCGGCTCTATCTCCTGCTGCTTCTCAAAGCTCAACTGGGTCCTCAATATGAAGCTCAATATGAAGAAGCTTTAAGAGGTACCTTGGCCAGTTTTCTTGTGTTTCCCAATGGAAGAACCAATACTTGGAGGATAGATTCAACAATGGTTACTAGCTGTACTGTGTAAAGGGAACCTCCATATCCTAAGTCAGCAAAATTCTGAAGACCAGTGGTAGGAGGCAGCATCTGGAGAAGGCATCTATGCTCTATTTATTTGGCTCTCTGGTGCAACTGGCTGACCAGGATGCTGGGCCAGATGGATCACTGGTCTGATCCAGCAGTCTCTACTTATATTCTTATGTAGTTGAATGTGAATGTGCTTAAGCTCTCTATCAGTTCACTTGCAATAGGATGGATATCAAACATCTTTTTCATGGATAGAACACCCTTTTCATCTAAACAATATTGAGCCTGCTCTCTCTGTGACCTCTTGAGCCACAAGTATGACTCTTCAAATGGGAGTAGGTTGCAGTGGTAATCTGCAAAACATGGTCCATAATTCATGTACCCTCTCCTTCCACTAGACTGTCCCCATGTTCCATTATTACTTGCTATAAAAATGATTAAGAAATGTGCAAACCATTAATACTATTCTATCTGCAGAAAAATCAGGCAAGAGATTGGAACAGTGACTGTTCATACACTTTCCAGTTATGCAATTCTTTGATAATCCATTGCTTCTTCATCAATTGGAATTATAACCCACCATTTCTTCTCTTTCCCCTTTTACCTCAGTATAAACAGAATAACTGCATCTAGACTAACACTGATGCAATCATTCTCCTTCCTTGCCTATAAGTTTGAAAAACAATTAGTATATGATTGAGTCATTTGCCCCACTACTTCTCCACAAAGTATTACATTCTATCAATTTTATAAAAGCAGGATCAGCTCATCACCATTGCACTACATTAATTTGTGGATGAGGAAGTATCTCTGGAAATTATGCATTCTAGAATGGCAGCCTTGTGCCAAAGGTTCAAGAAGGTAGAAAGTGATTGCCTATCTAATCTGTACTGCTTTACTCTGCTAAGTGAGAGCCAGTGTGGTGTAGTGAGAGTGGTGGACTTAAATCTGGAGAACCAGGTTTGATTCTCCACTCTTCCACATGAAGCCAGCTGGGTGACCTTGGGTCAGTCACAGTTCTCTCTGAACTCTCTCAGCCCCACCCAGCATACAAGGTGCCTTTTGTGGGGAGAGAAAGGGAAGTCGATTGTAAACCACTCCGAAACTCCTTCGGGTATTGAAGAACAGAATATAAAACCAATTCCTCCTCCTCCAAATAAAACAGTGCATAACAACTTTATGTGTCATAGGGAGCATGTGTTCCTGAATTTATGTGGAATGCACTGTAAGTGCATGAAAAAGGAAACTGTAAAATGGGACAGGGTTTGGAATTTGAGGCATTTGGTTTTGAACTGGGTGATGGGAGATCACACAGAGAACCAGCACCAATTAGCCCCATCTCAAACGAAGAAAGGGACATTTCCCCTTTTCATCAGGTAGATCTTACTGTGGGTTCCACACTCCGTGGTGACAATATGCAGAAAGGATAATGTCTGAGGACTGTTAATTGAATGAGGGTGCAAATTTGGGCCCTGGTAGTTTTTTCACAGCAAAATTGAGCTTTCAAATTTGGGGACTGAATGTGTCACAAGCTGAGCTTGGCAAATGCCTCAAAAGCATATCCACCCACAAACGAAGCTGAGTTGGAAAACAGAAAATAGACGTTGAGAAAGTCAGGCTTTCCTTAAAATGTTTACATTCTTTAATATTCCTCTCAGGTTGTGATTTTGAAGTTTACAGTCTGGCAATGTGTGATATGCTGTTGTGCAACTGTCACAACAAAGATCCTGTTCCAAATTTCTATATTCATATTCCAGACCGTCATTCTTTCTGCATCATTTCCTAGCTGTGGAGATTTCCATACGATTTTGTCATCTGTGCCACACACTGCACCTGCACCATTCTCCATTAACATCTTCATTTACATGCTTCTATGCCAGAGCGCACAGTGTATGTTTTGACCACCTTGGAAGTTCTGACACTCACTTTCTAGGCTGTGTGAACCAAGAGTAATGCAACTTCACTCTCTTTCTCCATCTCCTCAGGTATCACTTCATCCACAATTATCTTGTTTAGGATTGCCAGCTGCCCAGAAAAAGTGGCTTAACTGTTCTTGTGCCTTTAACAGCATCTTGATCTGCAGAAATCCACAGGTGTAGCTTTTCATAGCATGGAAATAAGCACTGTGATCTCCTCATTCCTAAAAATTAAGCTGTTTGGAAAGGCAGAGGGTCAAGGATTGATAAAAGAGTTGGTATTCCTAGTTTGTTTAAAAATCT